TGGGCTTGGGCCCTAATAAATTTGCGTAAAGGGGTCAAAAAACGGCAGCTGGTATCGGAATTGGCCAATTTGCTTGCAAAAAAAATCGGAATGCTATGAAAAATCTATAGGTAGATTATTGCCTTTAATCAAGGCCGAGGTCAGCGATCTGACCACTGGCTTAAATCAGACTTTTCTGACCGTTATCAGTTTGTAGCAGTAAATGAAGAGATGTCTTAAGCTTGGAACACAACAAGCCGACGCCGACGAACTAGCGCTGATGAAAGCCGACTGTGTTGTCGCCTCGTGTCGGGGTAAAAATTTGCACTTGAACACACCGAGAGAACTACTGCCGACTTTCAGCTAGAATGCGCGTTCTGCGCCTGAGTATAAATGAGACAACTGTCTATTTCTGTAGATATATTTGTATATATTCGTGATTCAAAAAGGGGAAACCGACGCTGCCGGCTGCAGATACACAAACCATAAACAAAGCAGTGCATGCTTACCGTTTTAAATATCAATCCTGCTAAACACTCTCTTTATTCCACTCCGCTCATGTTAATATTGAAATATTCGCCAAGAAACACTCAGGTAAGATGACGTAACATAAGAACAGCCTTCTATCAGTAGAGTTTTGACTTCTTTGCTCGCTGTTTTGCTATTATTCTTGTGCATTGACTCTTTCACTAAGCTGAACAGCCAATCAGAGTTCCCTCTTTCACAGACGGCCCGACGCCGATTCAACATGTCGAAACGGCCGAAACAAAGCCGATGAGGAACAATTTCAGCCGACGGCACGGAACCGTGCGGAACACACCGAGGAAACTTAGTCGGCCGACGCACAAAAACTGTTTGAGAGCCGACCGTCGGCTTGGTGTGTTCCAGGCTTTATTCGATCACAGGTTCAGTATGGTGTACCACAAGGCTCAGTACTAGGACCGTTGCTGTTCACTTTGTACATGCTACCCTTAGGAGATATCATTAGGAAGCATGGCATTAGTTTTCACTGTAATGCTGATGATACTCAGCTCTTATTTCTACGCGCCCCGACGAAACTTACCAATTCACAAAATTAACGGAATTCATAGCTGATATAAAAAACTGGATGACTCGTAATTTCCCACTACTTAATTAAAAAATAAAATAAAATCGAGTTTCTAATTATTGGACAAAAAACTTCTGCATGTAGTAACCTAGGATAGTATCTAAAATTGATGGCTGCTTTGTCAAGTCTTCGTCGTCAGTTAGGAACCTGGGTGTGCTCTTTAAAAACCAATCTTTCATTTGAAAGCCACGTTTCTAGCATCTGTAAAACCAAATTCTTCCATCTTAAAAATATATCTAGACTGCGACATATGCTTTCAACGACAAATGCGGAACAGTTAGTTCATGCGTTCATGACCTCAAGGCTAGATTATTGTAATGGTCTACTGGGTGGTTACCTTGCATGCCTAATAAACAAACTACAGCTTGATGATCTGTCATCATTTACTCAGCCTTGTGTTGTTTCAAACCTGTATGAGTTTCTTTCTTCTGTTGAACACAAAATATTTTTTGAAGAATGTTGCTAACCAGACAGTTGATGGACCCCATTGACTTCCATAGTTTTTTTTTTTCCTACTATGGACGTCAATGGCTACCGTCCACTGTCTGGTTACCAACATATACAGAATAAACTCGTACAACAGAAGAAACTCATAGAGGTTTGGAACAACAAGGGTTGAAACAGTATACCTAGTATGACGATATATCTTGGTATGAACACGTAAATTTGTGCACATTTGCTTGTCAATAGTATTGGGGAAAAAATTAGATGGAGAATCTCACCTGCATGGAAGTAAATTCTTTCCACTTGAAGACTCTCAACTTGCTCCAACCACACAAATAATGCGGAGAAAATGTCAGAGACAGAAGCTGTAATCTCTATCCCCTGTCGAAAAAGAAGTTAAAAATTGTAGTATGGTAATACTTTAGATATAGAAAATACGAATGCGTGGTTATCCTTGAGGGTAGACAACCAATTTGCAAAAAAATGTAGACGCAAACTCACAAAGTGGCTGCAAAAGGAGGAAACACATCGAACATGTTCGCCTATATTCGAGAACACCATTCCCAGTGATGAAGGAATGTCCCATTTATAACTTAAGGTATGATTTCCGTGATGACTGAAAATTGAATTTACAGTTTAACGCAGATGTCGTGTAAAACATGCAAATTGATGGATGGATGTGGAGTGAATATTCTTACTAGTCAAAATTACTTAATAAATATCTGTAACATGCATGCATACACCAATTTTAACCAATCATACCTTGGAAACTGTTGTCATCTGCCATTTTGACTAGGAATTCTACCATAAAGGTCCTGTATGTTTGGGTCATTATAAACTGCTTTATACAGAAGTAATTCAAAAATATGAAAATAAAAATGAGCTGGAACACCTAAATTAGTAAAAATTACAGAAGGGTTTTGTCCATTTCTATATCATAAAGTAGGATAATGTTGAGATGTGCATGCTGTGGATTGAATTGGATTAGCCTTCAATCCAAAAATAACTCATAAAAAAAACAGTAGGAAGATATGTATACGTCTCATGTCTGGTGCCACATTTTAAAATAACTTTAACGCTCATCGTTAAAAAACAGCAGATTATCACTATCACGGATTTCTTGCTATAAAACACGCCCCCCTTGAGAACTATTACAATAATGACACCCAAGTTAACCTGCTGCATCAACACAGAAGGAACAATCAATATAAAACTTAATGTAATCGACGTCATATAAGTACACGTTAATAATAATTCAACTTATTTTAACTTGTAAGCAGTCTTCAAGTTTTTGACTGGGTTTGCATTGATTCTTAAGTATTAAACTGGTCCGTCGCACGTTTATTTGTACTATTTCACGTTTTTGGTGTATAACTCCATTGTTCTTCACTCTTGTCTTTTCAAAATGTATATTTAATAAAATCAGATGAGAAGTTTGCGATTCTCTGTCATTATTGAACAAACACTCTGGTCCGTTTTGCACCATGACTGAATTAAAATCACAGCGCTACATACCTGTCATGCTGGAGACCTTTACCACATGAATGCATCCAGATGTTAATAAGTCCTGAAGGAATTCTTCCAGTAGCTTTTCTCTCCGTGATTACAAAAGCAGCAGACTACTGTTGTTAGCAGTTAGCACTAGCATTATCAACTAGACGCGTAGGGGCGGGGCTCTGGTTTGGGGAGGAGCTGAGTAAATTCAGTCTCACGTCACACAACAGCAGATTCGATTAGAAGAAGAGAATTCAAATATCAGAAAATATCATAGTAAATTGAAAATGGAATGGGTATGTTGTTTTCTTTCTCTTCAAACAAAAACACTTAAAGAGAGTTACCCTACATTCACATTGTTAGCAGCCCACATTGGGAATTGTAACCACATCTGGAGCACTTGTAATCCCGATTTGGTCATCTGAAAACGTGTTCATCTGGATCAGAGGTGATCAATCCAATTTTGCTTTAAAAAACGACACTAAAGTAAAATGGATTACCTGATCCTGGATAGTCTAGTAGAAATAACAGGCTGATGTCTGATATCTTCTGTAAATTGGCATATTAATCACATTAATCACTGTAAACATACAGCATTTGGAGAACATATTACACATTTTACCCTTTCACTGCTTTGGTGAACTTAAACTATAAGGTACCTTATTGTTCCTAAGCAGTCAATAATGAAGGATAAAAATGAACTCCAGCCTCTTTGTATGATACAAGACCTAATTTCAGTTGATTTTACAATAATACTGTACATCCCAAACAAATTTATCACAGAATTAAGATTGAATGTTTAAACTCATTAATGTGATTAAAACTATATAACTCATTCTTTGTGTTCATTAAATAAATCAATCAAGACAAGATGTTGTTTCTCTTTTATTTCTCATAATTACATGAACTATCAGAACACAATATAATACACTTAAGTAATGTGTGTGCACTAACTTGGATAGGTTAAATGCAGAGGACAAATTCCAAGTATGGGTTACCATACTTGACTTTCACTTTCACCTATTTAGCACACAACCTATCCTGACAGAGAAATAAACTACAACAACGATTTTATTTACATTTTAAGAGTTGTTGACTGGTGAAGCTTCAGCTTAAAGGAGAACTCCGGCGCAAAATGAACCTTTGGTCTAATTACACATTGTTACCTAGTCAACCGTTATCTGAGATTTGTTTTCATGATTATCGAATGTAAATAGTTTTATCTCTAAAAACAGTTTAGCCTATAAAGCTAGTATAACGCTAGTATATTGGGCATAGATCAATGACAAATAAAAATCGCTTGTTAATACCACTAACAAGGCTCAAAATAGCCCCACACTAACACGGTAGCATAATGAGGGTCCCTACCTTCAAACCGAAGCATTGAGAACTTTGTCAGTGTCCAGACAGTTTAATAAGAAGATATTTTAAACATACAGTCAACTTTGCGTATACAGGCAGGAGCCATCTTTGAAATACAGCCTTTACCAGTCGATCTACGAACGCCGATCCAAGTGCGCTGGTGAGATGTGAACGAGCTATAAGTTGTGATAAGGTGAGCGCGAACAGCAGGCTTGGATCGGCGTTAGATCAACTGGTAAAGGCTGTATTTCAAAGATGGCTCCTGCCTGTATACGCGAAGTTGACTGTATGTATTAAACATCTTCTTATTAAACTGTCTGGACACTGACAAAGTTCTCAATGCTTCGGTTTGAAGGTAGGGACCCTCATTATGCTACCGTGTTAGTGTGGGGCTATTTTGAGCCTTGTTAGTGGTATTAACAAGCGATTTTTATTTGTCATTGATCTATGCCCAATATACTAGCGTTATACTAGCTTTATAGGCTAAACTGTTTTTAGAGATAAAACTATTTACATTCGATAATCATGAAAACAAATCTCAGATAACGGTTGACTAGGTAACAATGTGTAATTAGACCAAAGGTTCATTTTGCGCCGGAGTTCTCCTTTAAGTCTTTATCATTTTTCCAAGCTTTTCACCAAATTGACAAAATGTAGATGATATTGTGCATTTAGGACAAACTCCATATCTATCTTTTATCTCTCACTATTTACTTGAATGTATTTGACAAAAACAAATGTTTCTCACTTGCAACATAATTTCATATGAATGTGAAGGCTTGATAAATGTTTAAAACTTTTCCCACACCGAGTACATTCGTACGGCTTCTCTCCAGTATGGAGTCGCTCATGTGATTTCAGGTGTGCAGACTGAGTGAAACTCTTCTCACAAGATGAGCACTTGTAAGGTTTTTCTCCAGTATGAATTCTTTGGTGCTGTTTCAGATTGTCAGCTTTAGTAAAACTCTTCCCACAGTCACAACACACATGATCTCTCACTTCATTGTGTATTTTCTGGTGCTGTTTGAAACTGTTAAGCCGTGAAAAACTCTTTCCACAGAGAGAACACACATAAGGCTTCTCATCAGAATGAACTTTCAGGTGTTGTTTTAGATGTGATGGTGAAATGAACTTTTTACCACACTGATCACAGTTAAATGGCTTTTCTCCAGAGTGAACGCGGAGATGATGATATCTGAGATCAGTTTTACATCTGAAACTCTTCCCACACTGAGTACAGTAGTACGGCTTCTCTCCAGTATGGAGTCGCTCATGTGATTTCAGGTTTTCAGAACGAGTGAAACTCTTCTCGCAATATGAGCACTTGTAATGTCGTTCTGCAGTATGAATTCTTTGGTGATTTTTTAAATGGGCAGATGTAGTAAAGCTCTCCCCACACTCAAAGCACACATGATCTCTCACTTCATTATGTGTTTTTTGGTGCAGTTTAAAATGACGCATTCTTGAAAAACTCTTTCCACAGAAGAAACACACATAAGGCTTCTCATCTGAATGAACATTTAGGTGTTGTTTTAGATTCGATGATGAATTAAAATCTTTACCACACTGATCACAGTTAAATGGTTTTTCTCCAGTGTGAATGCGCAGATGATACTTGAGACCTGATTCACCAGCAAAACTCTTTCCACACTGAGTGCATGGATACGGTTTCTCTCCAGTGTGAATTCTCAAGTGTGTCTTAAGGTTTCCTTTTTGACTGAAACTCTTTCCACACTGAAAGCAGGTGTGCAGCTTATTAGTTTTTGTTCTTTGAGTTTTGATGCTATACTTTTCCTCCTCTGCTTCATTCGGTTCATGTTTTTGCAGTTTCATCTCCATCCAGTCTAAAATGAAAATATTATGTGGTTTAAATAAGTTCAAGTGAACTATGATTTAACAGAAGAAAGCAACAGAGTATCAAGTATCAGATCTTTGATGTGTCAAAGTTTAGTTCAGTCTTTTTCTTGTTAATCTGTTTAAAATGTGGTTGACAAAAGCTATTCAAGATTATAATCATACACTGAACAAAATTATAAAACGCAACACTTTTGTTTTTGCCCCCATTTTTCATGAGCTGAACTCAAAGATCTAAGACTTTTTCTATGTACACAATAGGCCTATTTCTCTTAAATACTGTTCACAAATCTGTCTAAATCTGTGTTAGTGAGCACTTTTCCTTTGCCGAGATAATCCATCCACCTCACAGGTGTGGTATATCAAGATGCTGATTAGACAGCATGATTATTGCACAGGTGTGCCTTAGGCTGGCCACAATAAAGGGCCACTCTAAAATGTGCAGTTTTACAGTATTGGGGGGGGGGGGGGGGGGGAGGCCGGGGAGGTCCTGCAGATAGTCAGTATCTGCTGTGACCACCATTTGCCTCACGCAGTGCAACATCTCCTTCGCATAGAGTTGATCAGGTTGTTGATTGTGGCCTGTGGAATGTTGGTCCACTCCTCTTCAATGGCTCTGCGAAGTTGCTGGATATTGGCAGGACCTGAAATAGCTGTCGTATAAGCCGATCCAGAGCATCCCAAACATGCTCAATGGGTGACGTGTCCGGAGAGTATGCTGGCCATGGAAGAACTGGGATGTTTTCAGCTTCCAGGAATTGTGTACAGATCCTTTCAACATGGGGCCATACATTATCATGCTGCAACATGAGGTGATGGTCGTGGATGAATGGCACAACAATGGGCCTCAGGATCTTGTCACGTCTCGCCATAACCCCACCGCCACCATGGGCCACTCGATCCACAATGTTGACATCAGCAAACCGCTCACCCACACGACGCCATACAACATGTCTGCCATCTGCCCTGTACAGTGAAAACCGGAATTCACCCGTGAAGAGAACAGCTCTCCAAAGTGCCAGACGCCATCGAATGTAAGCATTTGCCCACTCAACGAACTGCAGTCAGGTAGAGACCCCGATGAGGACGACGAGCATGCAGATGAGCTTCCCTGAGACAGTTTCTGACAGTTTGTGCAGAAATTCTTTGGTTATGCAAACCGATTGTTGCAGCAGCTGTCCGGATGGCTGGTCTCAGACGATCTTGGAGGAGAAGATGCTGGATGTGGAGGTCCAGGGCTGGTCTGGTTACACGTGGTCTGCGGTTGTGAGGCCGGTTAGATGTACTGCCAAATTATCTGAAACACCTTTGGAGAAGACTTATGGTAGAGAAATGAACATTCAATTCACGGGCAACAGCTCTGGCGGAGATTCCTGCAGTCAACATGCCCATTGCACACTCCCTCAAAACTTGCGACATCTGTGGCATCGTGCTGTGTGATAAAACTGCACATTTTAGAGTGGCCTTTTATTGTGGCCAGCCTAAGGCACACCTGTGCAATAATCATGCCGTCTAATCAGCATATTGATATAACCACACCTGTGAGGTGGATGGATTATCTCGGCAAATGAGAAGTGCTCACTAACACAGATTTAGACAGATTTGAGAACAATATTTGAGAGAAATAGGCCTTGTGCACATAAAAAAAGTCTTAGATCTTTGAGTACAGCTTATGAAAAACGGGGGCAAAAACAAAAGTGTTGCGTTTATAATTTTGTTCAGTGTAGATTCATTTTCTATATCTCTATTTTGCTCATTATTTCACAGCGACCAAATCTGTTGAACTGAAGCTTTGATACCTTAATGTTTCTCAGCAGTCAACAATGAAGAATCAAGAATGGACACCAACCTATTTGTTCCTCAATATCTTCATGTTTTATTCTGGATGGTTCTGGATCACTCATGTCTTCAATCTCCACTTTAATAAACTCCATCTTTACTTTAACAGTCACACAGATTTCAGCTGCTACTCCTGGAGTTTGTTCTTCTCTTGTAGGATGATGTGAATATTCCCAGTATTTATTGGTGAATTTTTGTGGGAGGGGCTTCACTGCAGGTGTGAAATGTGATCAGTGTGTGATACTGATGCCCACAGGACCAGATCTGGAAAAATCAGAGATAAGTTACTGAATTTATACTGGATTACTTTAACAGAAAACATATGGTGCCTTTAATTTAGTCCAATTATAGAGCATTTTGATGGTTACATATTAGTAGTGTATAAAACAGCTCTAGGTCATTTTTATGTAACCCAGAATATTATAATGATGAAACAGGGCAGAGGTTCAATTGTTCAATTAATATCTAAACTAATCCAAAATCTTACGAGACAACATAAATCCACTTAAACAATAGAGACTGAATAGAGAGGGGGTGGTGGGTATAAGCAACAATTCTTCTAAAAAATGTTTATTCATTAAAAAAGTTCTGATATTAGAACAAAACATGTTTAGGTAGCAAAGTTGTTTTGAAACACTGCAAATGTCTATAGTAACATCCTAAACTGTAAAATGACGATGACATATGCTTTAAACAACTTTACAGTTCAAATAATACCAGTTTTGTTAAAACAAAAAGTGTTATTAAGACTACACGAGACTACACAACTTCACATTTGAGACTAGTGCTGCACAATTAATCATATCGCAATCGTAATCGCGATGTCAAACCTACGCGATTATATAGCGCAAAATGCCGCGATTTTTTATGAAATAAACAAATTAGGGCTATTAACGCAGCATCTCTTCTTTTTTGTCATCCTTTGACTAGTGTTGCATGATCCCGCTCTTATTCGTGCAAATGCCTTTAATTGAGACTAAATAATTACTGTATGTAAAGTTGATTTATGATTTATGCAAAAACAGCAGACAGACTGAAAGAAAATGAAAATTCACTCTCTGACAGAAGGTGGCGCTTGTGGAAAAGCAGAAATACAGTGGTTACTCCTGAACACAAGCAGCGCTGCGCTTATAAACACTAGGCTACTTTTTCAGGCATTACTGAGGAAAAATAAAAAGATCCCATTGAAACTTTCTGAAGACAATAATTTCCATTCAGATATACATTTAACCCTCTGGGGACCAAGGTGTTTTTGGGGTCCTTGAGATGTTTTGACATGCTCTGACATTTGTGCTTTTTTCAGTTGCTTATAAACATTTTAATGGCACAGGTGAAATTACACTCTATTTAGCACAAACAGGACTACCATAATGTGTGAGCAACATGTATGTACATGTTTGTATTTTTGAGAGAATATTGTTTATGCGTGGTTATTGAAAAAACTAAAAAATAAAGTTTTTGAAATAAGGACACAAAAAACATACTAAATATGAGTCCACAAGACTTTTGACTAATATACGTTGTCGCCTAGGGTTTTTGCTTCAAAATGATCTGAAAATCATCCTTCCTAATCATTCACATAAAACAATAGATTGTTTTAAATTGTGAAAAAAAAATTTCTGTTTGCCAAGGCAATATGCGGATGGGCGGAACGGCCCAACCCCTATCATGAATAATTAAGTGGTTCTTAGACAGTGACCCTGCATAATAATGAGCCTTTCATTCAGGGGTGTCACACAAGAAAGAATGTAAGGACAATATATATAAATATATATATATATATATATATATATATATATATATATATATTGTCATTGCATTCTTTCTTGTATATATATATAGCCTACATGTATATATATATATATATATATATATATATATATATATATATATATATATATATACACACACACACACACACACACATATATATATATATATAAAACAATCAAAATATAAATGAAAGCCAAAAGCACATTTTTAGTCATACCTGGAAACAAATCCTGGTCAAATGCTATATGGGCCAGTCTACAGAATTGGTTCAAAGTTACAGTTGGAAACATCTTGAAAAGAAAATAGTCTTTTCCCATAAATGTCTTATAAAGAATTATTTTTTAAAGTAGATCAATACAATAAAAATAAACCAGTCGCATTTCAAAGTCGCTCGCGAAATGACCGCCAGGTGGCGCAAAGGGACATTTATCAAAACGTAAGTGGGGCTAATGTCAATTAACAGTAAGGATGAAATTCTACAAGTTATGGTAATTTACAAATAAGCCTACAACAAACATTTATTTTTAAACAAATATTTTTAAATATGCAACATGCACGTTTAAACAACAAACAATACAATCTGAACCAGCGCTTCCTGTATTGAGACATGCAGCGCGTTTCAGTTACGATCCTGGTTCCAGTGGCCTAAATACATTCACGGCTTTTTAAAATGTCACAAAGCGTTTTGAGATGGTTTTGAATGAAATATTGAAGTTTATAATTAGGGTATTTTGGCACACCACGCCGAGTGGCTATCCATTATTCTAAAATCTGGCTTTATTCTGGCATGTTGAATTAGAGTTTGACAAACGCGGCGGCGCGTTCATTTGGATTTATTTTTCTCATAACAGCTAAAAGAACTTACTGCGTAATTGTTGGTCATAGAGATAAGATATCATCTTTTAAAACTGTAAAAGGTCTACTTTTATTCATGTAGGCTAAAGTAGGCCTACACTCACAGGCTAACGACAAAACGTTTTCTCGCTCATGTGAGAAACAAACGTTTGGGCATTTCTCAGTGAGAAAATTCATAGCCGAGCGGTAGAACTTACAGTTCGATCATCAAGATGACACGGGTTCAAATCCCGATCAAACATGGTCTACTGTAAATTTTATATTTATTAATGCAGAGAGATTTTTTTAGCTCTAAAACTCTGTTACACCATACAGTTTTTTGCTTATATTTATAAAATAAAATTACCATGCATTTCCATTTTACACTAAGGAACAATAGTATCCAACAGAACGACGTTGCATCTGTACCAATCGTGCGAGGCTACCAATCGTAATTTCAAAAGCAGTTCTGTAAAAAAAGTAATTTTATAGCCTATATATTATATAATTTTATTTTTTATTAGGCCTATTATTATTATTATTTTGATTCCCTACAACCTAGAGTTTTTAAAAACATGGTTTTAAGTAAAGTGTGATTTGCCAGGGGGGACGGGGATTTCCTTCTGGTCTAAACATCCCTGCTTCTGCTGAATTATTTGAATCCCCACACCCCTCCCTCCACAGTAATCAATGCTATAGGCTACTTCACCAATAGACCATACCAAATATAAAATAGAGATATGCAACAAGCACGTTTAAACAACGACAAACAATAAAATCAAAACCAGCGTTTCAGTTGTTCATTAGTTCAAGTGGCCTTAATCCATGCACGGCTTTTCAAAATTTCACAAAGCGTTTTGAGATTATTTTGAATGAAATATTGAAGTTTATAATTAAGTGTTTTGGCAGACCACGCCGAGTGGCCCTATGCATTTTTCTAAAGTCGGGTTTTATTCGAACTTTTGCTAACGACAAAAGTTTATCTGTCGTCTCTGTCTCCAGGAACTGCGCGTCACAAAAATGAACCGAAAGCCACTTCAGCTCAGTCACTATAAGAAATCGGCTATGTCTAAAGCCTTTAAATGTCTAAATATTCAGGCTAATAAATGTTATCTGATTATGTAATCCATATGAAAACAAGAGGTACAGAGGATGTACTCAAACATGTAGCCTGTAAGCGCTTCCCAATGAGAAAATGACAAGACAAGGGTGAAAATCTCGCTCTAATTAAATGTAGCAGGCTAAATCGCCCTGAATTAAAATGTAAAAACAGATCAAATAATGTATTTGTCGAAATGTTGCGATATTGTTTCATTTAAGTTCATAATTATTCTATACATGTTATTTAATTTAGCAGCATTACCACGAAGCACCGTGTTTCGATATTTATTTGAATAATACAAAAAATAAAAACTTAATTCACAAATTGCATGCCTGGTTGAAAGGATCCAAAGATCCCTGTAGACTTTAATATTGAGTTGAACATTTTGTTCATGACAACAAATTGACATGCGTTTTTTCAGATTATATTTAGTTTTGCTTGGAAAAAGCTGTCCCAAACCAGTTTTATTTCATCAATTATTGAAATAATGAAATATTTAGTAATAAACTTTTATGACAGAAATATCACTAGGCTACATGTAACTTAAATCATTTAATTCCTTCATTATCAACACTGTCTAGAATAGCGATTTAAGTGTGAATTGCGACTTCTCTTTGTGTTAAATCAGCCTCAGACTCCGATAGCCGGTGGGGGGTTGGAGGGACAGTTCAGTGCTGTATCGTGCGCGCAGGACAATAGGCCTAGGTGTTAATGTTCCTCTTTCATATGGAGAGCGAGGGAGACTAAATAAACTTGTTAAAACGAGATTCAGCGCGAGAGAGGCAAAGAAAAACGCATGTTTTAATTTAATTATGTTGCTTTGGACAATTTTCGTTTTGTAGGCCTACTGTTTTAATTGTTTAATATAGCTGTCATTTCTTTGGCAATACAAATTTAAAATGTCGCAAGAATAAGATTAGCCTAGTGTTTCTTATTTTGCATCGCAAAAGAAATAAACTCTAAACCCGATGCAACCCTGTTTTAAATAATAAAAAAAACTGTCCCGACACTTTATTTAAACCTTGAAATGTTCGAACTTGGTTTCAAACTTAAGTAATTTTAGTGTTCTTTTACATTACACAATAATTTAGCAGACTAAAGACGAGCTTCTTCATTTTCATTTTCTGATGCAATCGGCTGACAATCTTCCTTCAATCAGTTTTTGTCGTTTGTGCAGCGGCTGCGGTTCTACAGGAATGTAGCAAATTTATGTTGTAATGATAATTAAACAAAACTCTTGACTTTAAATAAGTAAACAGTTATAAACAGTTAGCTATTTAAGCATCAAGAAGGTAAAAAATAAACGCTGTTGGCCAACATCGGTTAACAACATATATGCTACATTGAGATTCGATCTCGGGTCGTTTGAAGCTCCTCGAAGCTCGTGTTGTTGCGTTAACCACTGAGCTATCGTCTGTACGTCTGTAAATGTTTTTATTGCAATGTTTTATGTTTTCATTATTTATTCAATTTCATTTCAGTAGCCAAATTTCAGTATTGTGATTATGAATTATTTTAACTACGTTTCACTTGTTGAATTCATCTGCTGCCAGCT